GGTGTTTCATATCGTCGATGAGTGGAATGCAGGCAGAATAACACCAGAAGAAGTGAGCGTTTAGAGAAATAAAAACGCAAATAAATTAATTTATTAATTATTTAATATAAATACATTAATTTTGTACTATTATATGTTTATTAATCCGTTCATTTCGGACTAACAACAAAAAAAAAAACAACTGCATTGATGCGAAGGCGAGAGCAGCAAGAGACTGCATAGTAACCTAAACCCTTCCTATGTTTGTTTTTCTTTTACCATTTGTATCCGTGTTTCATCATTATTATTATTATTATTATTATTTTAATTATTTTTGTGTGTGTTATTTCTCCTATTCAGGTGTATTCATCGCTGCTAGCGTGTGCGTCCTCCTCTGCCTCTGCGCTCGAGGCAGTGCGTCGCCTGTGTATTGTATTAGATAGCCGGAAACAGCCGCAACAAAACCAGCTGCTGCAGCTGACGCGGCAACAATACGATAAACTACCAAAAAACGGATCCTATAGAAAACTCCCCGATGAATGTAAAAATGTAACCTGCAGTGGAAGAGATAAACTCTCCTGGCAGGTACTTAATGACAGGTAAAACACACACTTCTTCTTTTCTTTTTTTCTTTTTAATTTATATAAATAAATAAATAAATAAATAAATATATATAATATATATATATTTATGGAAATATAAATTAAATATACACTCGGTTTCAATTCGTTTAGTGCTTTACCGCAGTAGCAACTGATATAGAGACCCGTACGTCTCGTTTGTTGGCGGTTTGTTTATTTGTTTCTGTGGTTATATTTGTGTCTATGAATTCTTATATTTCATGTTTATTATAGTATGTATTTATTTATTAATGTATTTAATTTTAATTTAATTTATATTTTATATTTGTTTATTTGTTGCTGTAGGTGGGGTTTATTCCCCGATAGCTCCGAGAGCCAAGCCCGCCAGATGAATCGCCACGAAGAGGCGTTGCTTACTTTAGCTGATTCACGGTATGAATGGGATTATCGTATTTGTTTATTAGAGTCTTGTTTAAAAAGAATAAAAACAATTAAAAATAATTTATCTACATTCCCTGAACAAGAAAGAAAAAACTGTACTGTACGACCCTCCTTCTTCCAGCAAACGCACGTCAGCTGTCTGCGACGCATCTTCGGCAATAACACAGAACAGGTCAGAAACAATATTAATTTATAAATTTATTTTTATTTTATTTATTTATTTTATTTTTTTTTCTATTAGCATAGATATTTCGGTGGATATGCATGCATTCATCAATCCATACACCATCGTATTCCTGAACCATCAGCTAATACAGAAATGCATCCGATCTGTGTATACATTTAGATATATCTACATCTATATGCATATACACCTACATATACATAAATATATTTTTTTTTATATTTCTATATATATATATATATATATATATATATATATGTGTGTATGTATGTGGAATCTCTGTATAGTCTTCATATATTGATGGGTATGCGTGTACTGAGTGTATTGAGTTGAATAGTGCAATATAGTTGCATTTGTGTGTGTTTTCAGGTGTTATCGAGTTTATGTTCTTCTCCTTATTCATCTGTCTATACAGTACTGAGCACGCTAGAAGCAAAGCTAATACAATGGAGGGCAATGGGGGAGGTGCTGGGGGCCCTATGGACGGCCCTGGAGGCCCCCCACTATGGGGGAGCTATAGACTTTAAGAGGCGATGGATAGATAACAAGAGAGGAGCAGCAGAAACAGAAGAAAGTAATAGAATTCATAAAACACCCAGAATCAATAAACATGAAAGTTAAACAAAAGGAGTAACGGACAGATGGTAATATACAACGCGATGAAAAAATAAAAAGAAAACAAAAAAGGAGACAGAAAAACAAAAAAAAAAGAAAAAAAAAAGAGAGAGAGAGAGAGACGTTCTTCTTCTGTCTTTTTTTTCTATCTCATAGACAGATAAAAAAAAAGAAAGAGAGAGAGAGAGACGAGAAACAGAGACAGAGAAAGAGAGAGAGAGAGAGAAAGAAAGAAAGAGACAAAGACAGAAACAGAAACAGAAACAGAGAGAAGCTGTTGCCTCCTCTTCTTGCTGTTTATATCTTTGGTGGATTCATCGGCAGTCTGTTGTTTTATCGCTATCTCCATTCAATATAATAACACGAAAGAAGAGAAAACAAAATAAAATAAAATAAAATAAAATAAAATAAAATAAAATAAAATAAAATAAAATAAAATAAAGTAAAACGATAAAGATGGTATAAGTAATGATAGAAGATGTGATATATAACAACATAAAACGAGCATATATATATATATATATATATATATATATATATATATGTATATATATATAGTTTATATATAAGTTGATATATAAGATGATATATATAGATTATATAAGAAGAGATCTTATATAAGACGATAGAATACTATATAGGGAGATGCGTAAGGTAAAACAAGAGACGATAGAAAATAATATAAATAAAATAAAATAAAATAAAATAAAATAAAATAAAATAAAATAAAATAAAATAAAATAAA